TATTATTTTTATTTATTAATAATTTATTTTATAAATATTAAAAATTATTTAATAAATAAAAAATATATTAGATAAAAAATTTAAAAAATATCCTAAAAATCCTTTAATCCTAAAAACATTATTGTACAAAATAAAAGTAAAAATCCGTGTATAGAAATTGATTAAAAACAAATTATCGATTCACCTTATCCTTTCCTTTTAAGTTTGTTGATCTTGAAAGTGGGATTTACCTTTTACAATCTTCCAAATTATATGATTAGTATATATATTTGTAGGAGCGAACAAAATGAACCGATAAAAACTACAATAAACCAAAATACAGTTCGCCTAGAGTAAATTGAATGAAATTAATTCAAGTTAACTAAATTGAACTTTTTTTTCTTTATCAAACTAAACTGCACTGCATTAAACTCTAATATAAACTGAACTAGATTGCTATGTGCATTTTGCTGAACTGTTTTTGTACCTTGAATTGAACCGAACAATTTTAAAGTGTTTTCGTACTACACACAACTATTTTTGAACTTTACTAAACTATTTTTTTCTTCATTTGCATGCTCATCGTCAATTTGTCACTTGTTTCTTGGTGGGGTTTCAGTTTTATTGTGTACAAGTAGTTGCAACTAAAATAAGCATAAGAATCAGAAACTATTTCACGCTCAAAGTCTTTATGCAGCAACTCAGGCTTTTCTAATTGACCAAGTTCTCAAACAAAGGTGAGATATATATTATTTTAAACATTTATTTCTAGAGCTACTTCTCCATTGTTTATATAAAAATTTGTACAACTTATATGATATATTGAAATATTAATCGAATGGTAATTCAAGTAATTGGATATCAAATAGGGGATGCGATTCCTATCATGCCAGAACTGTCCATTTGATAGAGTTCAAGATGTTCATGGGCCTCTTGACAGCTTGGCCCATTATGACAATAAGGCTCCCAAGGAATGGAAGGTCTATACACGTAGGAAGAAGAGAGGTGCATAATAGACATTGTAATACAAAGGCCGGGTGGTTAGAGGAGAGAGAGAATGAGATCTTTTCGGTTATTTAGTAGCACGAGTTAGAGAGAGGGGGGTATGCTGTAATCATTTGCTTTTGTGTGGGAATAGAGAAAACCTTGTGGGTTACTCTATTAGGAGCGTTGCTCTGGGACAGGAGAAGATCACACTTCTGCTGTATTTCTTTTTCTGATATTAATACAATTCAGTCTCGTATTCCTTTCAATTGAGTGTTATTGTCTTCTTTGAATTTGGGTTCCTAACAATTTGGTCCGACCTGCCGGATAAATTCTCTTGAACGGTGAATGCCACCCAAGAGAAGAGGAGGAAAAGGAGAATCGGTGACAATGGAGGCGCGATTGGGAAATGTAGAGGGTGAGCTGGGTTGGGTAGTGACGGCGATAGAAGAAATCCGCAAACAAGCTACACAACATTAGTCGACGATGGAGTTATTACAAAAACAATCAGAACAACAAACCAAAATGATGGAGATGATGTCTCGAAACCTTGAGAAGATTCACTTCCATGAAGAAGGTGAAGGTTCAGTTGGTCAACAGTAGGGGTCAGGAGGTCGACTGAGGATACTTGAAGTGGAAGCAATGGAGTAGTTCCGTCAATCAGTGAAAAAGATTGAACTGCCTATGTTCAATGGAGAAGACCCAGCAGGGTGGATCACGAGGGCGGAGATATACTTTCGAGTTCAAGAAACTAGTGAGGTGGTGAAGGTTAGTTTAGCCCAGCTATGTATGGAGGGAGGAACCATACATTTTTTCAATGCACTGTTGAACGACCAAGGAGACCTGTCATGGGAGGATTTGAA